AGCCTGGTAGGATAGAGCCTTTCCCAGCCTGGTGCCCTCCAATGTTTTGGACTGCATCCTGAAAATTTGCCAATCCGGCTGGAACTGACAGGGATTGGTTCAAAGCATCTGTGAGTACCAGGCTGAGAAAGTTGGAGTAGATGCTATTGGTCTAAGATAGGTCTCACTATAAGGGTATTTCATATACGGATAAAAGCAATTCACCATTACTATTACTAATTTAGCAGTTCTAAAACAAATTCAGCAGTAACAATGCCACTATCTATTATGAAACAATTGAATTTATGGTCTTCAATTACCTTCAAAATATTTATTCTTTAAAGAGCTTTATGTCAGTAAAGGCTTATTCATCTAAGCAAAGGCTCAAATCAAGATTACAAGAACTCTGATAATTCAGTCTTTAATTCCAGACTTTTTTGTTTGAACCTTTGCCAGATAAGCCTCAGCTACTGCCACTTACAGTTGCCAGAAATGGTCTACATGAAATATTGATCATGATTTTATGAAAGACAATTCACTGCTAAAGATCTTGTGACTATGATAAGCAAGCCATGATCCTGCTACAATGAAATCTAAGACTAGTTATCATGCCAAATCCCCTTATACTACTTATCCATTAACAATGTTGCTAGGTGGATCAGTCTGGGACAGAATGGGAGGCTGTTGGTAGTTTCTTTTAAAAACCCCCAGTAATTGTGTTGCATTGGGCTGTAGATAAGGCTATCAAAATGTAAACATGATCAAAATAAGGCTTTAAGAATTAAAAAGAAATATTTGTTTGAAGAGTCTTGCTAATTAAAATGTATTCTTCTAATTAATACCAGCATAAAAGCAGCATTTAAACAGGCCTCTATCGATTACTTTGCACAACTTGGCCTGTTTTGTTGAACCTTAAATACTTCTCTTGTTAACTATTGCTTAAGGTAAGAAAACTATTCATGCGAATGCACAAGCAAATATTCTGTTGCCACACATAGACTAATATGGGAGTTAATAAATATTGCTTCCTATTACATTAGGGAATCCCATATCAATAAACTGCCTATGCTCATCAATGGAGACATCCTAAGTGGTTGGTTAAAGCAGGAGAACAAAGCAAATGCTACAGATGCTCTACAATTTAATTAAAGAATTGATTCTCATTAATTAAACCCAGCAGAGAAAAATAGAGAAAATAGGCCTCTAAACAGTTTTAATAACCTTACAATAACAAAAGGACACTTGCTTGCTTCTTCTACTCCGCTGTGCCAGAAACAGCTGGAGACAGAACAAGAGTTCAAAACTAAGTATGGGACTACATTGGCACAACCTGTGACCCTTCAAGAAGAAAACAGCCAGCACAAATATGGCTTCCCAGAGAGACACTTGTCACAGCCCCCCCCCTCATTTCTGCAAAAGCAGAAAGCAAAATCAAGGGGTATATTAATGCTCTGGTGGAACTGATAGATGCAAATGAACCTGGTGTACTAAGCATCACATACATGTACCATTATTTATTTTTCAATTTATATCCTGCCTTTTTCCTACAAAGGGCTCAAGGCAGCTTACATCTCCTCCTCCATCTTGTCCCCACAACAACCCTGTGAAGTAGGTTGAGCTGAGTGTCTGTGACTGGCCCAAAGTCACCCAGTTGGTTCCAGATCGTCCGAGTCCCAGTTCCATGCTATTAACCACTATACCACACTGGCTCTCTACAGTACAGTAGTTACATTACAGTAATTTGAATCTCTGGATTGGGCAAATTCATGAGGAAGCAGGCTATCAGTGGCTGCTAGCCTTGCTATAAGCCACCTCCTTTACCCAGAGATGGCATGTCTGCATATACTACTTGTTGAGGAGCTTGGGCAGGAGATCTTGCACACATCCTGCTTGAGGGATCCTGTGGGCAGCTGGTTTGCCACCATGTGTACGGAGTGCTGAATGAGATAGATCTTTGGTCTGATCCAGCATGGCTTTTCTTATCTTTTTTATTACATTTCTATATGTTACACTGATTAGCTCAATGTAACAGACATCTTTAGTTCCATACTCATATGCAAGTACATCACACTAAGGTGCCTGTACCACCAAGAGCTCCAGATGCCTTAAGCAAGCAATCCAAGCTGCACACTGATTCACGTTTCCCCACCCTGGTGTCTTCTAGACCTGTTCAACTTCAAGTGTCCAACCACAATCTTTCAAGTAATGACTACAACATCACTAGATCTGGAATCTTTTAAAAGCAAATTATTAGCTTTTAAATTCTCCCTCCAGCAAGTGTTTTGGACAATATTCTGCAGGATGGGTGGTTCACTGGGCAGATAGCTTTCCTCCTTGCACACAGCCACCACAGACAAATGTTCCCCAACTTTTCTTTATAATTTCTTCTAATCAGCGTACTCCCGTTTTCTCTTGTTAAAAGGATTTTTAAAAAACCACTTGAATCATTCCACCCAAGGATGGTAAAATAGATACTCTGCTAGTCTGAAAACAAGAAGAGAGGCTAAATTCATACACTTGCCTAAAGTGCCCCATGTGTAAGGAAGATGGGGCTAAGTTGTGCATTCTTAGAGTACCTACAATGAAACAAAGCCATGTGCACGAGTGATTCCTGCAGTCCTTACTTGAAGAAGAAGGTGGAAGAAAGAAAAGGGAGATTGTGGCTATATTCAGGATTCAGAAACATCAAAATGTGGTGGAAGCATTCACACTTCCTCATTATGCACAGGTATAGTGATGAACTAGGTTTTTGTATTAGAGAGGATTATGAAAACCATTGATTGCATTTATATACTACCCCAATAGCCCAGAGGGCTCTCTGGGTGGTTTACAAACATTAAAAACCCACCAATCCTAAACAAATAAATATACCATTAAAATTAATTAACTTTAAAATATTGGTTAAAAAGGTCTTGACCTGGCACCGAAAAGCATGAAGGCACCAGGCAGATCTCTCTAGGAAGCACATTCCATAGCCGGGGTGCCACTGCAGAGAAAGCTCTCCTCCGAGTATTCTGTCTCCTGACCTCTTTCAAAGAGGGTTCCCAGAGGGGGGCCTCTGCTGCTGATCTTAGGGGGTGGGAGGGCATATGGGGAAAAAGGTGCTCCTTTGGGTATCCTGGTCCCAAGCCGTTTAGGGCTTAATAGGTAATAACCAGCACCTTGAATTGAGGTCAGACTTCAATGGGAAGCCAATGGAGCTGATAGAGGACTGGAGTTACGTGAGAATAACGCCCAGTCCCCGACAGCATCCTGGCAGCCCTATTTTGCACCATCTGAAGTGTCCAGACCGTCTTCAAGGGCGGCCCCACATAAAGCGCGTTACAGTAGTCCAAACGGGAGGTAAGCAGGGCATGTGTCACTGTTGTCAGGCAGTTCTCCTCCAGGTAAGGACGCAGCTGATGGATCAGCTGGAGCTGAAGGAAAGTGCTTCTCACCACCACTGTCACCTGGGCTTCCAGGGACAGTTCGTGGTTGAGGAGCACTCCTAAGCTGCGGACCCTGTCCTTTAGAGGGAGTGCAACCCTGTCCTTGTTTCAGTAAGAAAGCAATTCTACCTGCAGCAGTCTGTCTTCTTTCCTGCCTGAAAGGGGACAGCAGCTTTAATGTTCTTCTGACAAAATTGCCGGAGTAGGAGGGAACATGAAGCAGCAGGCCTGCTGCATATGGCTCAGCTGGAGTTTACCTCCTGAAAAATCCCCAGCTTACAGATGCTTTAGCACCTTTTGAACTTCATGGAACTTTTTCCTGAATCAATTGCTCTCAGAAACAATTGTCTAGTGCAAACATGCTTTGCTGTGCTTTCTGAATGATTCATCTCACCACAAACCTTGATATTCAATACAGGTGAAGCAATAAACAAGAGTGAAGCTTTCAGGTTTATCATTAAGGGCTGGAAAAACTTCAATAGAAATTGTGTAACCTCACAGTCAGCATCAAGCAGTTGCTTTGCCTTTGCCTTTATTCTGTTTTATCTCTCCAAATGAAACAGGGATTTCATTTGGGATAAGGGAAAAACTTTTACCTGGAGGTACCTTTCCTTTGCAAGGTAAAGCACAAAAGCATGAGAAGACAATTCTGTTATTTCTCCTCTCCTGGCAGTTATTTGGTTTTTTGATAGCTGCATATTAATTTATTGGAGTCATTTGTTTTATTGTACTGATAAATTCTCAGTGCCCACAGCACCCCTTACTGAAGGAAATGCCTAAAAACTGGTAAGACAGCAGACCTAAGGTTTGAAGGGAGGAACAAACACAAACACACAAACACAGGAAATAAAAAACTAGCAGCTGCTGGTTCTAGGCAAAGCAGCCCTGCATGAGGGCAACCCACAGCAGAGATGTGGAAAGGAACTGAACCTTTCAACTTCATTGCTTTTCCTCTCCAAGCGGGTACCCAACCTCTGTAGAATGTTATCTCCTTTCCTATTTTCCTACTGCAAATCACTTGCTATTGAAGCTCTTACCTAGGAACAGCAGCCATTGGCATTTTATTTTACATGTGTGTAAGCAACAGCCCAGCCCCAACTTTGGGGTATACAGGAGAAAGACTGACACAACCCTTTCCTTTCTCATTTCCTTTCTGTAGAATTTTCCCAGTTTTTTTCTGATGAACAAAAAAACAAACAGTCTAGTGATTTGCATGGATGCAAAATGCAGAATCTAGAAGCATATGTAAAGAATTTCAGATTTCTACCCCCTGCCACACCGACTCAAAAAAAAAAAAAAAAAAAAATCTATGCCTGAAGGCTATTGATTAAAAAGCTGCTGATTTGGGTTTCTAGTAATCAGGCAGCATGACTTCCACATACTTCCCGTTCAGGAACATTCCTCTCTCACAAGGCCAAAGTCCTTTTATTGACCTTACACACCTACTACCCATTAGTTCATAATATGTGTGCACTTCCTCCTCAACACCTCAGTCATCTTATATGGAAGGCTGGGCATAAAAGAGCCAGGGTTAATGCTCCAGATAATAGCCTTGCAGGCACTGTGTTTCAGAACAGATCGGGAGACAGGATATTCAGAAAAAAATCTCTACATATTTAATAACATGAAAAAAGTAATACATGTTCAGTGATCTTCATAAAAACTCTCATATACAAGAGGCACTTTTTTGCTCCAGGACTGCCACTTTTCACTAGTGAGAATATATTAAATGTGAGAATATATTAAGAATATTCACCAACATTTGTATTGTTTATTCTCATTGTCTGATAGAAAGTAACATTTTCTCTTGGTTCTCTAAGCACTCTTTCAGCTTATCTTCAGTCAAAGTAAGGCGCTGTTCCAGAATTGAGACAGTCTGTTTGGAAGGCAAAACAATAAATGGTTATTACTGATAATCACTAAATATACAGCATTATATTTGGAAAATTATTATTTGTATTATTTTAATACATTCAGGAAATCAGAAAACTGCAAGATTCAATTGAAATGTTCTGTCACTGAGCAATGGTTTAGTAATACACTGAAACTTTATGAACATTTACTACTTGGAATAATCTTTCCTGCCATGCCATAAATCTGGATATTTATGTTTGTGTTTTTGACACAAAATACTGATAAATCATATGCTCAGTGTCAACAACATAGCATTAGAGAACAGCTCTAAAGTCTGGAACTGCAGTGCTAAATACTGAACCTGGTAGAATATTCCTGTTCAGCAACTGTGGGAATAATGATATGGGGAAACTATACCTAACTTTTTATAATAAATAAGTCCAGAAATGAAAATTTGAAAATGTGTTTCCCCAAAAAGCTGAGATCACAGAACTATGTGTGGGTCTCTGCACTGGGGCCTTTTCAGATTCCTCCTCTCACACCTGCTGCAGCCCCTGAACAACAGAAACTGTATGTAACAGGCTGCAGCTAGAAACTATATGTGACAGGCTGCAGCTAAGGAATAACTCCCCTTCACTATTCTCTCTTTGGAGGTGATTTCTTCTTGTATATAGGCTTTTGGATCCCATAAATAGTTGAAAGGTGTGAAGGACAAATGTGAAAGACAAGCATCATATATTTCTGAATTCTGATTAATTTATTTCAGAATTCAACATTCCAGTGGTACGTGCTATGAAATACGTTTTCGGCTCCAGTTAAATGTGATGTTATAATAAGGGAATTACTGTTAATTTTAAAGCAAAAGCTTGGATCTGGCTACACTGAACAAGCCATGTTCTGTATTTCACAGGTACAATTAGAATGAGGCAATTAATAATTCAAACAAAAATGATCACATCACATGCTCATGAAAAGAAATAAACCATTTAATAAATGGCTCAGTTTAGAAAGTGAATGGCAGGCCTTCAGACATGATGGTGTTGGGGTTACTTACAAGAGTCAGAACATCTAGCTGCTCCACAATGTGTTCTAAAGCATTGGTCAGAATTGGTGAAATGCCTACAGGCTCATCCATGGTGCCTGCTTCATCCACCGTGTGCACAGCATATTTGTTTTCACCATCCAAATTCCTGTTAGATACAGCTGGAGAGAATAAACCCAGAGGAGGATGCAAGTCTTCACTGTTCACTCCATCTCGGTGCAAGGAAGGCTGGGCTAAAGAGGTTCTTGTCCTTGTCTTCATTTAAAAGGAAAACAGATAATATATTTATGGTAAGACTAAACATCTTCAGCTTTCTGGGCTGTGAATATCCATTTTTCCTTTCAAGAAGCAAACCTGAAGATAATTATTGCAGTTGCTACCCTTGTATACCTGTTTTCACAAAAGTATGTAAAAGATTTATCCTAACCACTATCTAATCCATCTTACATTTTTAAATTCCTATTTGGATAATTCATCTCAATTTTCCCCTTCACTTGCTGTTTTGCTAACCTCCAAATGAATTTTACTAGTTGTTCTTTGCTATCACAGGTAAATTTAATGATCTTGATGGCTATTGACATGAAGGCTTATCATGTGATGAACAAGTGCACATGGGCTGGGATCCAAAGATCCATACTAGTTCTGCTTTTCCACAAACATCAGTTTTCCATGCCAAATATAGCAGTTGGTGCTCCCAAGACTGAGAGGTGCTCTGAAGGGGGAAGAAGTGAAAATCAAAGAAAAAAGAAGTAGCTGTTACTGGAGGAGATGAAGAGGTATGGAAGGAAAGGGGAAAAAAAGAAATGGAGAGAAAACTTCCTGAAGTTTCTCTCTTTCCCCAAGCCTTTTAGGATTGTCTAAACTTTTAAAAGAGCACCTGAGGCTCTTCTCACTGCTCACCTTTACCTCACTGCTCACAGGAGGGCCTTTTCCATAATGGCTCTACACTTCTGGAATGGGTTGCCACTGGAGGTCCATCAGGCCTCATCCTTTAAAAGGTTTCAAGAAGGCCCTAATGACCTCCTTGTTTTCATTGTCCTTTTTCCTACTTATGTTTTATTGGATGGTTTGGGTTTTAGCTGCAACTATATTTTAGGGTTTAGTAGTTTCTACGCAAGATGTTTTGTTACTTTTATTGTTGATGTTGTTATTTTTTATCATTGTAATGTAGGCTAGAAAAATTTTAAATAAAAGTAAATACTGGGGACAGAAGATGCCAAGGAATAAAAAATATTCTTTACTCTAATTGCCATTTCTGCATTTTCGTCATCTCAGTTTACTAAGTGGTGGGGGATTGTGGTGTTAGATCTGAGCAAGCAAGAAAGAAATGATTTTGTACTGGTAGATCTCTGTGTCACACTGTCAGTCAGGGGCCAAGTCTGGTCCACAGTACTTCTCAGATGTCCACATCTCCTTTTCCCCAATCCCTGATTGTTTGAGGTTTTCCTGGATTTTGTGCATTTTCCCCACATTATAAAAGGTTGAAATGCATCTAAGGCTTAGTTACTGCAGTAAGAGCTTTAAGCTAAACTATGGAATTAATTTTGGTCCTTCATTTTTGGCATATCTACCCTTGGCATGAGACCCCCAGAAAGCTTCTCCCATATGGAATTTGGCCCTCAGCCTGAAAAAGGTTGCATACGTCAGCTTAGGCATTTTAATATGTTCAACCTATAGCACATTTGCCTGATCCTATGCTTAAGTGTCATAAGCAACCTATGCTACTCAGACTATACTGTGCAAGAGAAGAGAGGTGTTCTCATACAGCATAGCTGTTTTGCACAGGAATCAGTGCTTTGGAAAGGAGAGAATCAGACTAATGTTTGCAACTTGCATGGTTTCTACACTCCTTATTAATGCACAGAAGCTGCAAGGCTTGTACAAACATACCCAAGCTATTTCTAAAAGAGAAGGAAAGAATAAGTAATCCCAGGGAAGCCTTTAGGGAAATAGCTACGCTTCAGCAATAGTGGATGTCTCTATGTGTGCCCTTACACCTTAAGCCTTAGGAATGGGCTGTAAATCTGCAGCAATGCAGAGATCCCCAAACTGCAAGCAGCAAGACTAACAGGATTACTATCTCCCCCTTAATAATGAAATCAACATTTTCATACCTCAATGTTATTCTTACTAATTTAACTTAAAGCTACCCAAGCATTTAGAGGCCACTAGGTCATTTCAGAACAGAGCAGGGGGAAATCCCAGTGACTTGGGGAAACAAGCCTAGCTTCTTAGTTGCCGCCTCTACAGCTGTGCTTGCAATAACGCTTTATTTATTTATTTGCAAAGAATGACAGCTGTGTTAAATGTAGCACAGCCACGGCATTAAATAGCAGCTGCCTCTTGGCCATAATCAGAGCAATAAGTGAGGCTATGGTGCTTTAAACAGATTTAAGGTTTGGGGACAGAACATGTACTTGCATGCTTTGGAAGCCCCATGAGTGCTTGCTTGCTGTTGGAGACAGGTTTTAGGAAAGGTTCCAGCATTGTTCATTAAGCCATAGTTATTGCTGTTTAGCATTTTAACTCAGAAAAAAAATCCAGCCTATAACAGGAGATGCCAATGCTCCTACTGAGTTTTATGTAATCAGGTCCTGTTCTATTTCCTCAGTGTCAATATAGGCTCCAAGTGCGGGACACTGGAGAGAATAATGCAGTGGAAAATCACATTTTGGATTAAACTTATGAGTAAATTTTAAAAGCTGCTGTCTATATAATGTTGATGTTCCTCATAATCTTTTCATATCTTGTATTTCACTCTTCCCTAATCTGTTATCTTCCAGATATGTTAGGCTTCAAACCTAACTATTCCCCCAGCCAACATGCAGGGAGTTGTAGTCCAGCACATATGGGTTGGAGAAGGATGCTATATTTAATTTGCATCTAGAAATGCAAACTAAATATGGCTCAATTTTCTCTTTATCAGGTAAGAAAGAAAAGAATATACCATAAGCTAAAATCGTCATAGTTTCTGTGCTCCCAAAGGTGAGAAATTCCTTGCCAGAAGTCAACTCTAAATATACATGCTGCAGGAAAAAGCATATACAAGTACTTTCATAAGCTGCAAATACTCTTATGAAGACCACATATGCCAAAAATAACAATTAATTATATGGGTAAATAAGTGTAATAAAGATTGGTCTTCAGCATCTCTGTAAACAGGTAGGACGGGAAACACTTGAAATGAGGACAACTAACTTGAAACCACGGAAGCATTCCTCCATTTACAAGCAGATTTTTTTAATGAGCCAATTTTAATGGGCACCAAGTTTCTTCAAACCATGTGCACAGATCCTAGGAAACACCTCACAGCTTGATCTAACAGTGAAGCTTCTTAGTTATGATGATGTGCTACCTCTCTCCTTACTGAGCTGGAGTTCTCATCAAAGTAGCTCCCCCAAAGCCAGCCCTCACAACATCTTCCCCTAAACACATCCACTAGCTTCTTGTCTTCCTACCTTGCTTCTGAAGCTCAAGAGGACACAGCTGCTTTCCCTGCATCGCCCTTACATCCCTCATGGCCAGAACATCCCTCACACACATGAACATATGTCATCTGGATTTTCAATTTGTAACAGTTCATAACTGATAAGTACTGAATCTCCTCCAAGCCAACCAGTTCACCTGCACTACCTGAACAGGCAATTCTCTGTGGAAATATTTTGTTGAGATCCTCCTCAGCCTGATAAGTGAGGCTGTAATACTGGAAGTAATACTGCCCAGTATTCAAAAAACCTAATACTGGGCAGCCAACCCACATCTTCTAAACAACAAGCCATATTCTCTACAGCACTGCATTTAAAATACAACTGGGTTTAAAAGAGTCACACAACTATTTCCACACAAACTTTGGACTTGTTTCCTAAAAATGGTAACCTTCTGTGTGTCATCTATTCTGAACCGGGCTTCAGCCATTTTATAAAAGGATCCATTTTCCACACTGGCTGGCATTCCTGAGAATAGAACCACAGCAAAAAGCACCAAACTGTCTGGGAATGGCATGCAAAGGAGATGCTTCCCACAACAAACTGACAGCTTCCATAACGTATTGTTCTCAAGCCAGCAAAATCTCTCCAGTGTGAAGCTATCTTCCTTCCACACAATGGTAAACATTAATGAAAGTTGCTAGGCTAGCAGTTTATATAGTAGGCTAGAAGTTTATATTCATCCATTGCTTTGAAGATACAGAAGTAAAAAATACCCTCAGTGGGCTTGACACCTGTCTAGGAGAAAGAGATATCTGGGAGACAACCAACTACACTGTTCTTCCCTATCTCAACAGCATCTTAACAGACTAGCATATTGGGTCACTTATCCATTCTTTCACCTTGCCTATTGGTAAGCTACCTGTAAAGTATTTTTGAAATCGAGTGGGCTTTCAAAGGTAGATTGTGGTAAGACAGGAGGAAGTCTCCTGTTCAAAAAGGGGCAGGAAATGCCACTAGGCAAACCTAAACAGGTGGGCATGTCTAAAGTAGTTTTTTGAACTTCAGCCAATGGTGAAGTAATTGGGATGGGGCAGCTTGCTTACAATCACCTAATTCTAAATATTTCAGCGTTATTTTTTTAAAATCAGCATATTATAAGAATAGGGCACTTCTAGTACTGCCCCAAAAATAATACATACCCAATGTTAATTCAACTAAGACTGAAATCATATGATACCCAAGAGCAAACACAACTGGATTTAATGGGATTTACTCCTGAATAAATTTAGGAAATGACTGCATGCTATTCTTTTTTCTTTACTCCCTTTCAAATGGTCAATGTAATTTCAGACTCACAGTTTAAACAAAGTTTGCAAGTCTCTAAACTACTCTACAGCAAAAATACAAACTAAGGGGGAAATTCTGTGTACTGCCACCCTTTGATGCCTTTGGGGAGAAAAAAAAATATTAAATCTGCCACAAAGTCTGCCACCTCTTTTCAACAAACAACCTAAAAACCAAGTGCATGCAAATGAGCAACATGAGGCAATTCCAGTTTTGCCAATACAAGAGTTTGCGAAATCTGCCAAAAAACAGATGCTAATGTTAGACAATATATACCAAATTGTGAAATAAATTATATAAACATTCAAGACCACCATCTACTAGAATATTATACAATGAATGTGAAAGTGCACTCTGTTCATATAGTTCTATTTGAAATGACTCAAAAAACAGGAAAAATAAAACTCTTACCATGAATTCCTGTTTCCAGGACTCCTTGAGGGCATTCTAAGATTCTTATCGTTTGACTCAACCCCTTCATAG